CCCTCCAAGGAAAAAAGAAACAGATGATTCAGTGTGAATTTCAGTGGCGAAAAACATTTCAGTTTTAATTAAATCAATTTATCAAAGATTTTCAGTTTAGATAATTTCAATATTTATTTCCTGTTTGTTAGAAAATATTATGATGGACAATGCAAAAAGATACTAGAATGCTTCTGCGATTAAATGCATGAAATTAGTATCACTCTTAGCATGGTTAAAGTTGGAAAGAATGTAATACGCTTCGCTCGTTCTTAAACCTGTGCATTTCAGTAAGCTTGCTTCTCATTATTTTTATGTTTAGCCACAGATTGATAAAGTAATGTAAATCTTATTGAAGTGGATAAAATTCTTTTTAAACAAATCTAACAAGGTCACATGAAAATAAACAAATGAATTACACAAATTACAGCAATACTATTACAGTTTTTGTAAGGACAATAAATAGATTGAGGAATTATGCAGAAAAAAATCCCCTCATCCATTACTTCTATTTTTCACATTTTAAAAATAATTTTTGTCACTCTTAGGGCTCCAACTGAATCGCTTGACCTCTCTGAACATAAAAATGCAGATTTAATATTTGATAAAAGAGTAGCAAAGTTTCTTAAAAAAAATGACACAGCGCTCAATTATTAAACTTAAAATTGAATAAATTCCTTTTCATTTTATAACATGACGAGAACCAATTTTAAAAAAAAACAGAACATGTGCAGCCTCATAGTTTTAGAGCACCAGAGACTGTAGGCAGGGTATAGAGAGTAACTCTATAGTTCATGTGCAGCAGTGCTGCCCACTGGCTATGCGACAACTTTCAAATGGAAGGTGTAGTGCCTGTGGTATGTGGTACCATGCCTTAAGACATGACTTCCACCTGATTATCCCATAAACCAGAGTACATTTCCCATGGTGACTATTTTTTTACTGTAAAGCACTACAAGAACTGTATAGTTCATCCTACTTTTTTCCTCAGAAATATCCTATCCTATTTCAATAACCTTACTGTCTGCAAGGATTGTCTTATACTAATATCATTGTGCAATTAGTTTGACAATAGCACGGAGACCTGAATATTGTACTTTCAGACACATGAATATGTGGGTCTACAACTCCTTTTTTTCTACAGGCATGCAAGGAAACAAGCACTCAAGAAACTCTTCTTGAAAACGTTTTTCACACAAGGCATAGCAGAGCACCCATTCTAGTATTGGCAGTCAATCCTATTTTCCAACATACTCTGCTCTTGTTCAGGCATCCAAGCAAATGAGTGTATTTGCTGATTTGTCCAGCTGTCAGCAGATCCCAGTTCTGAATATCTGACAATCTCAATATCTGACTAAGGATTTCAGGGAAGATAGATTTTCTGTCAGGCAGGTATCTCCACTTCCAGCATGAGCTGAGCTTCTGATGCCAGAGCAGGAAATCTGAGAAGTGTGAGAACCACATCCAAACCAAATTCTGGAGAATCCTTGATGCTCAGCTTCACTTGGGCTTCACGGCCCAAGTTCAAAGATCAGCTACGGCTCTAGAACTTGACAGTTCCTGATGTTCTGTCGTCCTTGGAATGTATGATCGAGCCAAGATGCAATACCCAACTGTTCTTTTTCCTAAATTAATGAGTTGCTATACACATAAATTACTGTTTTTGAAGCACTCAGCACAGTAAGGAGGACATTAGCACATCTGTGTTCACTAAAAGATTTGGATGGTATCCAACAACTGACTGAAGAAGATCAGAAGAAATGTTCTATTACCATCTATTAAAGAATAAGTCATGAGTCCTCCATTTAAAGTATTATGCCATTGAAGACTACAGCACAAGAAAGTTGAATTCTGATTTTTTTCCAAAGACTTAAAAGTTATAACCTGAATAATGTTCTTTTCCATGTCTTCTTATGTGCAATATACTAAGAAAAAGAAGGTTTCTTGGACAGAAATATGAATCCCCAGTTCTCCCCCACATTTGTCCAGGTGTTAACCCTTTGAGGGGTGGGGAAAATCACAATCCACATATGCTCAGTAATGTCCAGGGACGGATCCCAGCAGATAATGCTGAGAGTCAGTAAAGTGACTGGAGGTAGGATTCAGTGAGAGAAAAAAGGGCACATGGGAAGGAGAGACAGACCCAATAAGGAATGTGGGTAATAAATATCTACACTTTTTAGGCCAAGATGGAGCAAACAGCTGGGGAGCTAGCAATAGGCTTCAGACCAGTATTGAATAAGGAGCTTGGGAGGGAGAATTAGGACTTTTCAAAAATATGGAAAATAGGAAGCCTGACAAATAATTACTGTTAGGACAACAGCAATCTCAGAAAGCAAGACCAGAAGAAAATGGAACAATAATCTAGGCAAAGGTACTCAGAGACAGATGAGAAATCAGAGAACGAGAACATAGCATTGGGTAAGCAAGGAACTTCAGACTGGGATGAAGATCCAGAATGAGACAGGGATGTTGCTGGGTTAACTAGAGAGTATGGGATCACAGGGTCAAGCTGACAGTGAATATATCGCTGAATATCTTTTTCTTTGCCCAGATTCATAAAGTTACATCATGAAGAACATTATATACAGTTCTAGTTGGTTAGTCATGTATGGGGAATCATAACATATTCCTCCTGTTTATAACCATGCAGATATCAATACCATGCTGTGAGATGCAGTGTCTGGGGCTTTATGGCTTGCAGTTAAAAAGAGTGGAAAATTTAGTATGCAGTCATGTAACCAAAGAATCGTACAGTAGAACACATGTAGAAGGAACTAATTTAGGAAAGTCTGTACAATAGCTTTTCCTCTTCCATGCATAACATTTTTCCGCTGTGCAATGACACACTCCTCA